AGGCTGCAGCTGGGTGATATGGGCTACGAATTGGGCTACAGCTTAGGTGATATGGGCTACGAATTGGGCTACAGCTTGGCACCAGCTTAATTGGGTTTGCTACACTACATATTGAGGCAAATGCATGCTTTAGGTATTAGGGCTACAGTTTAGATCCTGAGGTCCTTTGACTACAAGTAAGACTGTTTGGGTTACAGCTCCAGAATGTTGGGGTTCAGTGTGGTTGTTATTAGCTGCAGTTTCTGTGTTGCGGTAGGATTCAGATACAAAATTACAGTCTGCCTGACTGCACTGTACTAAGATGTACTAAGCACATGATTGGTCATTTATAATTTCAGTTGAAAATGGCATCTGATTGTATGCTTTGATAGTGATTCCACATCAGGAAAAACTTGTCGTACAGGATTGGTCAGTGATGAGGCATGACAACAAACCAAATGAAAATCATTCATTTGGTCATTTTGACTTTAACAAAGCTGAGTTAAAACAAGATGAGAGACCAAGGTGTGGACGAGACCTTTACAAGCTCTGACTGAAAGGAAAACACTGTGTGTTTGTAAAAGCAGCAGAGACAAAGCAGTGTATAATAGAATGGAATAAACTGTGTTTGTAAAAGCAGCAGAGACAAAGCAGTGTATAATAGAATGGAATAAACTAGAAGTGCCTATCAGACAAATGAGATGTTGGAACTAAACAAATGCAAATGGAAGCCACAAGGGGAAGTGATTTCCAGGAGAGGAAGATCAGCAAGAGTAATAAGTGTTCTCTCTCTCTCTTTTCATAGATGTGCACTGGAAAACCAAATATTTGTGACTGAATCTTTACCTAAAAACTTAGTTGATACCATCACACGTTCTGCACAATTTCCGTGTAATATGCATTAAGTTGTTACTTATCAAATATCTACAAGTACATGTAGCATCCCTTCTTCCTGGAAAAAGAGATTCCTTCCCCATCTCAAGAGCAGTATGGAATGGATAAGTCTTTGAATGAGTGGATGCAAAAAGCAAATAAAAACTACACAGCAAACAAACAAAAAAACAAACCAAACCAACTCAAGATCAGCATAAGCTATTTGGAGTGAGTTTATTTGACATGAGGCACATTTCTTCTCATCCATCATGTGTCTCTCACCTCATAGAAATAGGAGTATTGCCGTCAGAAGATGAAGCATACCTACAAAGTAGCAAGGATGGGTGTACCACAGCATGAAGGGGAATTATGAGTTAGACTTTAGAAAGGTTCAGTTATAAGAGAAATAACTCACCATGCATATGTTATCTAACTCTCTACTGTGCTCAGGTTCATGCATCTGCAAATCTTTGTCAAGGATGCTTTGTGGCAGATGTCCATGTTACCAGAAATTTTGACAAAATGGCAAACTGATGACATTTTGAGAGTGTTTTCCTCGAGAATTGCAATTTCTTTCACATTTCTGACTCATGACGCTTGCTAATGATGCAATGAAGAGAACATGGTATATGTAATTCAGCAGCTCAGACAGTGTGAGGAAAACTCAAGAAAGCTGAGATAACTCAAGAAAACTTGAGACCAACTTAATCAGTTTTAATCAAGCATTAGTATGCTTTGTAGACAAGCAATGCCTCTGGCACCAACATGTAGATATAACTTTCCACCATGAATTAAGTTGTAGAGCTGTTCCAGACTATGTCTTCTTTAAAATTCTAAAATGGAAATGAAGATCATGCGAGAAACAGCAAACTTGATCAGCTCTCTACTTCAGCTGCATAGCCACACAACTCTTTATTTAATTATTAGTACATGCATTTGCAAATATCTCACACGAGCTTCGAAGCTTCTCCCGATGAAGGTAGCAAGTAAGTTTAATAGAGATTTGGGGTAGCACTGTATAAGGATATCTCTTTCGGAGTATGAGTGGTTCTTAAAAGAACTTGAGGGTACTCAACGATTTGGCCGATTTGGATATGCTTTGTTCGTCGGCAGTAGACAGGAGTGAATTACCTTCAAGTAACTTAAATATCTTACTTGGCAGGTGGCTGGTTTATCACAATGACCAAGAACTGTTTACTGCCATACCTGACGGACGTGTCTCCTTGTTTCTTTGTCTGATCCAGTACTAGCTTGGGGTCACAGCGGTCAATTTGCCACGTGGCTGCACAGTTGTAGGAACTCACGTCCAGCAGTTGCCATGGAAACTCCTTGACTTGGGCGATTAGATGCTGCATGGAGGCTCCCTAGGATAAAAAATGACATTTCGACATCATGGGAACTATTTGTGAACTGATATGGGACCAGTATTGAAAGTACAGGGAACACTTTAATCCAAATTGCCCAAGGTCTTTCAAAATCCACCAAGAGATAGACTTGTGAAGAGTTTACAGGACTGAGAAAGGTAGATCCCCACCTCCATTATTTTGTTTGGGGCTTGATGCCCCTTGAAAGTTCAGTAACAAACAATGTACCATTGGTTTTCTGTGCATCAAAAGGATTTTGAAGCATCCAATAAGGTTTCCAGCAAAGAGGGGTTCAGAATTATGGTTAAAACTACAATGTGCTTAATTCAATCAAGCCTTGAGTATTAATGAGACACTTATCATCAATGTATTCTTAATATTAAACTATCAATTTCATAAAAAGTGCATGAAGTCTTAAGTGTAATGTGTACTTCCTACTGATGTACATGTATGCCGTAAAGAAATACAGCCCACTTGTTTGCGCACAGTGATAATGACAATAAGCAACCTCTGCTGATGATAACATGTTTCACACTGTTACTGCTGGAGGGAAGACCGGTACATACAACCTGTGCATTTCAGGGTTCTTTACATATTTTTCATGTACTTTGTTAAACATAGCTCATAACATCCTGGTACAGAACAGATCATGATTGTACTCTGGGTAATTTAAAATTTTTGCAAAACCTAGAGAGCAGTACCATACAAAAATTAATGCCTTAAGAATTTCAAGGTATTTACGATCGAGTATCTACTTGAGAAATCATAAAATAGCAATGGGTGTAAAAAAAAAATCAGCCATTTATCATTTTGTTACAGAATCCATAAATGTATTGTAGCTTACCATAGGCATGCACAAATTTGTATTCGCTCTAGCTTTGCAAACTAACGATTTCCTTTGACAAGGTGCAAGGAAGTTGTTAGTCAACTTTTAACACATTTCAGTTCCTGTGTACACACAAATCCTGTTTCAGTCATGTGCAGGTCACATTTATGTTGAGTATCTAAGCATGTTACTTCTCCACTCTTTTGCGAGGGCAGTTAGGTTGCTTATAAAGAAGAAAATGTGTACCTGAGCCTTCATGATGTTGTCTTCATTCAGGAAGATTACCAGAAGACTGAGTAGATTGGACAGGAAGCAATTTGAGGTGTTGGCGTCCGTTCCTTGGCAATAACTGTCTGAGATCTGTCGCCATGGGATACGGGGGAAAATGTTGCCTAAAAATGCCAGGCAGACAGGCCCCCTGTCCTCAAACACCTGTTCCAAAGTTCAAAAAAGAATGCTCTATGAGGCCTGAAATATGCAATTGATTTTTGCATTAAGAGAATGATAAGAAAATTAAAATCTATTAACCCAGACATACAAGCTAATTGTTCAACCAGGCCTTGCTATTTCCAGTTTCATGTGAAAATCACTACTGGAAAATGTAATTATCAGCAAACATCAATGACTCTATTTCAAAACCCCTTTCACTTCGGCTTTTTTTTTTAACAGCCAGTTAACGTCGGATTTTCTTATCTGAAAAAGCTGCTGGGGGCGTCAGGTTTTTCTACCCGCAAATTCTTCAACCTTGCAATTGAACTTTGACCCAACCAAACATGACATGTTAATACGTCGACCGGGGAAATGAAAGAAGAATTCTTAAATGAGAGTACATGGTCTCCGTGGAACAAGTAAGGAAAATTATGTGAGTTTGCATGTCATCCAGCGTCAAGTGGTTAACAATTATTCTTTCCATAGACCTTTCTCTTCTTTTTTCTTTATGTTCTCCAAAAATGAAACTACCGTTACTCACCCGAACCATGAGTTCCATGGAGGCTAGGCCTGGATAGAACTGGTTCCACGGCAACTGGACAAGATGTTGGTGGTAGGTCATCAAAACATCTTCTCGGAGACCTTTCTTGGCCAGGGTGTCATGGTAGAATGGCCAGAGGAGGGACAGTGCATTGACCATTGGGGGGTCCAAGTAACCTACAGTTCAAATGAGATCATGGTGACTGGTGGACTTACATACATCATGTCTGGAAACCTTCCAATCCTCCAGCTACTCTGGCAAATTATGGTGCATACATGGTGCCTTGTGAAGACCCAGGAGAACGGGTTGAATAGGTCTCCACAAGGATTTCACGAAACTGGTAATTGGAAATCTCTCAAAAACGAGAAATTTTTAATGTGCAAAAATCTATTGCAAATTGAAGTGTTCTGTATAAGGGACATTTCGTCGAAACTTCAAGCCCAGGAGAGTGATTCATGTTGAAATGGGAGCATTTTGAAAACATCGTTTCACATGCGAGTGTGTTAGTACATGAGAACAAAACCATGTCTCCACAGGGTTACAAACTCTGGTGCGTGTGTGTTCTGACTAGAAATGAGCCATACTGATGCGTAAATTCCCATCATGCATTGTGCATCTTATGACTGTGGTTTAACTGTGTGTTCTCATCTAACTTTGGGACTGGTATTCCGAGGCTCTCAACTTATCTCAACAACAATTTGTTTATTTCTTTTTCTCCATAGCACTGATTCAGGTATATTTAAAATACGCTTATCACAAAAATGATTGAATGAAGAAATATTAATAATTACAATTATTTACACGCATCTGTGACATGACTGTGTCATAAAGTAAATTTACTAATCAAGGAGCCATTTCGTCACCTAATGGTACTACAAACTTGCCAAAACACTTTTAAACGGATGCATACATGTGTGAAATTTAACGGGAAAAACCTCAAGCAACCCCCCAACACATTTGACCCCTCCCCCTGCTGTTCCCTTAAAATGGTTCCATAACTTTGAGAGGATTTCCATGACTGGTTGCCAAACATGCCAAGTATATCAACCTAATTAAATGGGGATGGATTTTTGCCCTCAAGCATCAAGCTGCAGGCCGGGGCGTGTGTACGTGATCAGGACAGCCTCCGCTAAGCTGGAATTCATTATGAGAATACAGTCCACTGAGGTTGGGAGTGGTAGGACAATGTCTTCATTAAAAGCTCCTCAGGGTACAAGACCCGATCCTGCCTAAACACCTAGGTTGGCAATGCGATGAAGTGCCTGTTCAACACACCGACAGTCAATGATTGACAAGCACAAGGCAGGAGTTTTAATACACCTGTTTCCTTGTCGCAAAAAAGGTATTTGACAATCACAACACTCGGTAGAGATTTTACTGGGCGATAAGGCTGGAAAAGGAAACGACTGTTTGAATGTGACAGTTGCTGATTGATGTGATGGAGTCAGAATAATCTTGCTTGGGAATAAATTCCAAACCAAACTAACTTCTTTGGTTTGATTTCAACTACTCTAACTGTCTAGACTCATAAAGTCAAACCAGACATCATCTCATCAATGACTTGATTGTTTAAACAGACATCCGTTTTCAATTATGAAAAAAAATTCACTGGACAAAAAATTGGGTTTCAGTGAGGGGCCCGAAATTAAGATACTGGCAAATTTGGGGATCTTCAATGTAAAATATGATGGTTTACATGATGGAAGTTTTCTCTGTCCCAATGAAAAATCATTACTGCTCTAAAACTGATTCATAGGCTCCAAAACTGATTCATGTCATTTCTATCCAAATGACTCCAACTTTTGTGAAATCATGTTTTACATTTGTACATCTACTGTTCAAAGCTTCTTTATATTACGGAGGCAGAGTTCTTTTTAGGATAAAGCACAACACGTGATCTCTTTGGACCAATGACCATCATTAAATTTATCCTATTCTTGGGCCTATGCAGCCAAAAGGCCAAGTAACTATCCTACAAGTCCCAAAGGACAAAGTTGCCCTAGCCACCCCAAGTTAAGCCATGAATCACAAGTGACCAGTCACTATGAGTCTCCAGAGTCTAATGTCTGACTCAGCCCATGGGTTCAAGAGGCCCTCCACCCGAACTTCTTCCATCCGAGACAGGAAGTAGCTCATTCACGCCAGCTTTTGTCAAGTCGATCCGGTGGGGATTACCGGTCGGGCAAACAATTGATTTTATTGGTGGGAGAGCCCCCCCCCCAAAAAAAATGGCTTGGAAACTGTGTGTCTGGATGAGCGTGCTTTCTATGACGCATGTGGGGGCTTGAAGATCTCCCTCTACATGTACATGTATGTCACTGGAGATAGTAGGAACACAAGCCATTCCAGACACACCCTAATGTTCCAAACACCTGCTGGCCTATTGTCAGAACACATGACTACAATGCCTCATTGTCTGATTTTCAACAGACATTTGCGCTTTGTATCAAATCTTTGTACATAACCTTTGCTGAGAATAACAAACTGTAGTCAACTCTGGATAATTTTAGAAAAGCTCCTCTGAATTTAAGCTTGACTATAGTGGCTTTATGTACACAACTGCGTACACAACTAAAGCACTAGAACGGAATAAAATGATCAGCCAACAGGAAAGTGAAATTCTACGACTTATAAGCAAATGTTCTTCTTCTAAAAGTGACCTCAAGCTGTAAGAGGAATCATACATCAAATCTGAAGAGTAAGCTTTCACCTACACATGTACATACATCATGACCTCTTACATCATGTCATATCATTAGGCTTTGTCATGAATATGCATGCTGTGCTAGCTAAGGTCAAGATATTTTTAGAACTGAAACTGCATTTAAAAAATGGACAATTATTCCATGAAAATCTTCCACACTGATGGATGTCGATGCATGTTGAACTAAAACAAAGCATCACTGAGCAAGTTTGGCAATGAGAAAAGATAGATATTTAGGTATGTAGTCATTCATTGGAATTCAATTGTTACTTCTTATTGTTAAAATTGGGAAACACATTGATGAACAGTGAGTTATGTTGACAACCTGATTGACAAAGATTCAAAGTTATTCCTGTAAAGATGAAAGTAGAATATTTTGCCTATCCTAGACCTAGGGTCATAGTTTATCATGTGCTGGTGGTGTCTTTCAAAATTCTTGGACTGGATAAATTATTACTGAGTTCCTTCCTTCCTTGGAGTGACGTCAATCATTCTAGCTGGCTTAAGAGAGCACAAGGGGGTAGGGTGGTGGTGGGGGAACGTTAAGAATAACGTTGCTATGACTAAGGACTAGCTGTGTCTGGCATGGGCAGTGCCCATGGGAGGTAACCTATTGTGGATCAATTCCTGGTCTCTAAGCGGACAATTCCTACCATGTGTCGGGAGAAATTGGATAATTCTCACAACCTGGAATCCTGTTCTTGGACCAGTTAGGCCATTACAGGCGAGTCAATGGGGGAATCACACTTTAATGGGTTAGACACCACGCTGGCCACCAGAGATTAACTTGTAACGCCTCATTTGCGTTGAGTCTGTTGTGAGATCAGTGGATGTGCGTGTTGACTGACGTCCAATAATTCAGCGATGATGGGAGATTTGAATACGCAAAAATTTGATTTGCAGTTTGCAGCGAGACGGCACTTCTTGTAAGACTATATTTCCTGCAATAGTTCCCAGGGAAATGGACAAAGTAGCAAAACCTTAATGATCTATGCTTGTAGACTTCCACAAAATAACTAGAGTGATGAAACTATGTTTGACAGAGAGTCACCTGCAAAACATTGGATGAGGAATGCAGTTCAGGTTTAGCACCATGTGGAGCAAATATGAAGTAAATGAGAATTTCCTTGGGCACTTTTGGTTTAGATCAAAAGTCCCTGTAACCCACTAAACAACAGTAGCTGTCATAGTCAATGGATGTGTGGAGAAAAATAGGGAATCTAGGAGTCACATGTTCACGTAAAACTTTTTACCTAAGGTAAAAAAAGTCTCCGGTTTCTGGTCGGGGGCTGGCTCCAAAAAAGATGCAGCAACACAGCTTTTTTTTTTTACCTCGATTTTTTTTCCCTCGATCAACCAAGTTTGGCAGCTTTTAGACATTGTATTACACCAAATAAATTTTTTTTTGCCAACGCAAAGGTTTAAAGCGAATTGCGCACTGACCAGAGACCGGACACTTTTTTGGCATAAAATTCAAATATTTGACCTTGTTGTACCCTAGAAAATAAATGCCCCAAAAAGTTACCAACTTTCGTACCATTACGAAAGTCATCATGTTTCACAACACTTACAAAAAGTGTTTCTTGGAACTTTGAAACTACTGTACTGCTGCTTTTGTTGAGGTATATGGCTTTATGGTTAGGTTTCTTAAATGCTTTAACATAGGGTCGGTGGTTCAAATCTAGCAGTTCATCACATGTTGTGACCATGAGCCAGTTACTTTAGTGTCATTTGTCAATGGGTACCTGTGAGGGTAGAGATGGTTATTGCATTGCATTTGCTTAGCCGTTTGTGTCTGAAATTGCATCACTGAGCTGAATACATTCAAGCGAGCTAAGATGATTTCCAGAAATGTTTAGGTGCCTGGGGAACAGGGGTAATAGTGACACAGCACCTTGAATGCTAGGAGTGGTGGATATGTGCACCTTGAATGCTAGGAGTGGTGGATATGTGCACCTTGAATGCTAGGAGTGGTGGATATGTGCACCTTGAATGCTAGGAGTGGTGGATATGTGCACCTTGAATGCTAGGAGTGGTGGATATGTGCACTTTACAAGTACCCCTTCACAGCACCTTGTATGCTAGGAGTGGTGGATATGTGCACTTTACAAGTACCCTTTCACAGCACCTTGAATGCTAGGAGTGGTGGATATGTGCACTTTACAAGTACCCTTTCACAGCACCTTGAATGCTAGGAGTGGTGGATATGTGCACTTTACAAATACCCTTTATTAATGCCCATTGTTTGACAAGTGATATCAGTATGGTCAGACACCGCACCTTGGAACTGTGCCTGAATGCATCCAATGGCATAAGAGAACATAGACACCATGCAGCTGGCTGGTACTCGGTCTCCTTCAACCCAAGGTGGTAGTAACTGCTTGGCGTTGGGGCTGAGGACGATGGATACAACAACATGTCAATGAAACAAATTTGTCTGCCTACATACATGTGTGTTTTGCTCATACGAGGAACTTGTCATTTTTAACATAAGAGATGGAGTTCAAGGTACACGAAGAAAAACAAATAGTTTCAGACCTGACATCCCGTGTTGATGTGTGTTCTTTCTTGACAAAAAAGGAATTTCAAAATTGTTGACCTCAATAGAGACAACTATTTATTCAAAGAAATTTGTCAGTTTATTTCGGAGAAACAAAAAACATGATTAGTTTGCAAACCTGGCAATATTGATCCTAACTCTGTTGTAATTACAGCGGCAAACTTTGATGAATTTTTGTTCAAATGTAAGGTACAGAAAAGACTCTTCCATTCCTGCAGATTTAAGCTGAATATAAAAAAGTTGGAATGAGTATGATGCTATATTTCTAGCAGAAAGGGCACTGAATGTACATTGCAAGGCTCAATGGCTATTCTTACTTGGTAGGGGAGGGAACTTCAAGGGCAACTATCCAAGGATAGAAGAGACCTGATAGAAGAGTCCACAGACGCCTCACAGCTGAAAAAAGAGAGAGATAAAGGAAGACTGCCTTGATCTTCTTACTTCCAGGATTAGACTGTCATGTGGAAGTGTATTGGGGAATTCATGTTGACTAATTACATGAAGCCAATTAAAGTCAAGAGTAACAGAAATTCATAGAATTATTAGTTATAAGGAATCTCAACTGTGATCTAAGCAATTTGTGATTAGATTCAAATATTTGACGGCCAAGTGACTAGATGCCCAAGATCTTGTGGCCTAAAATCTTTCTGCAGTTGGCTGTCTGTGTTTATACGCTAGGAATGACCCAAGCAGCAAAGGCAGCCCAAATTGCCCAACTTTGATTTAATACATTGAGCACAGCAATGGGTTTGTAACCACAGTGAGCAAATCTGGATGTTGGGAGAGTTCCTATAAAAATGCTAATAGTTTGATCTCTGAGTATCACCCATACCTTGCTCCACGTCTACGTTGGCCTCGATAACACGGTGGGCTTCAAGGATGATGGTATTGAGGATGATGTAACCAAGGAAACTGACCAATGGTTGGTGGTACTGCTTCCAGTTGCTATGGAGACCGAACTGTCCACTCTGTGGATTGTTATTCCGTTGACGACTGAAATACGTCGTCAACCATTCCACTGTCTCTTGTAGCTGTTTGAACATAAACCACACAAGTTTCACAGCCTTAGGTTCTGACAAAGTAAATGTGTTTCAAGAACCTCTTGGCCTTGACAGAAGATTTCATGGGAAATTGAAAAGAAATTTGTTACTGAATCCACAAAAGGAATCATCAAGGACAGTTTTAAAGTAATTTTCTTTTAATAATAGTATAAAAAAGCAAACTAAGCTCTTGCATTTGATGTTTCAAGATGTTTAGCATCTGATGAAAACGGACATTGTGTGGGTGAAAACTACTAATCAGAATTCCTATTGATTTACACTGTTTAAAAGTCTTCTGAGGGCCTTTGGCTCAAAAGTGGCTCAGGTGACTTAAGACTCAGTTTGTTAGGTTGGGTCATGTCCGTTATCTCCTACATTCTGACCAGCCAATAGGCCAATCTATAAAGCTTGGCCAAGAGATCTTTTGACCAATCACAGCCTTGATTCCGAAAACCAAATGCCAAACAATTCAAACATGCATGGAGTTCCCAATGTTTCATGTGTCTTGAGTGTACTGCATAAGTGCACACATTGTTGCATATGCATGAAGTGGGCAGGGCTTACTGGATCAAAGTATACCTGTTGGAGGGAGAGGAGGGGGCGTGTCTGGATCAGCTCCTTCACCTGCTCAGTACTGATTGTATCTGAGGTGATAGACAGGACAGGACAGCTGATAGACTTCAAAGTGTCCCTCCAGATGTCTTCATGAAGACAATGCTCCTCCGAACCTGCAGAGACAAATATCATACGCTGACATTTTTTTTCTAGGAAACTCAAGGAATACTTCAACATCAGAACTTCTTATGCAAAAAATATTTCAGAAGCATTTGACAGCATTGTCCCTTTTCTATATCAGCAATCTTGTAGAAATCAGCCAGTTACCAACCTTTTAGGATAAGTCTGAGCACATCTCCATAATGTTCTGGGAATTGATACATGAGAATGGCCCTCAGGTGACTGCGGTAGATCTCAAACATCATCATGCTTCGGTTGTCCATATCTAGACTACAGCTGGTCAGAGCCTCGCTGACTACCTCAATGAACTGGGAACGGACCCCTATGACCGGCTGGCAATTGTTCAGCCACTGGACCGGATCAAACTGGTCATTGATGGCAAACAGAATAAAATATCTCAAATTTCTCAAACAAGCAGAGCAGTTTGGAGGCATAAACGTTACTGTGTGACAACTTGATCATAACTGATTAATCTGTTCCCATTAAGGTCGAGTTTCTTGAGCTATGAATGGTCTGCTATAGTTTTGTTTGTAAATATTTACAATTACAGTTTGATAAAAACAGAAATAAGATCTGCTTCCAACTTAACATACAACTGTTTATTTAAGCCCAGATCTGGGTCAGTTACATATATATGTTTGAATTTCCTGTATCTAATTTCCTCCTCAATGTGTTCATTATTTGCAACAGGATCTCTCAATTTCAGTCTTCAGGCCATTTCGTTTTCAACAACCTTGACTTAAGTTAATACTTTGGAAAGTGCAAAAAGCCCTCTTTGTTTTGATGCATTACTATGTTTGGCATACGATGACAGTGGACATTACATAGATCAAGAATGTGAAGAATTCCTCTTGATACTTTTAAAGGCCTCCCACCCAGAATGATTCTGGTGACTTACGACTTGTTTGGCTAGGTCACAAATTTCAAACATTAAGCATGAAGCAAGCCTGAGAAAAGATTACTGCACAAACTGCCAGCGCTACCTTTGTCAGAAGCATGAATGCTGTGTCTTGCTTATCGCTGATGCCTATTCTGACAACATCGCTGTACATCTGAACAAAGGTATCCCCACAATGGTTAGGAGCCAGGTTAGGAGCCAGCAGGCCAGCTAAGTTACAGTTGGCCAAGATGGCCGACATTAATGGCTGAGCTTGCTCAGGATAAGGGCGAATGTACTCCTGAGAAAAGGGTGGAAAACAAATCAAAGAAGAACTGAAGGAAACAGACGAACTGAGGGACTTTTTATAAATGTACCAGGAAGACTTTGACATCGAATCTATTTGGTAGGTCAGCTACGATGTGTCTATTGCCTGAATTTCATTTATCATTAGAGTAACTGGTATAAGCAAGATTTGATTCCAAAGACTAAAAACACAACTTGAGGAAAAATTTATCTTTCATTTATTTTTACACTGCTGACAGTTGTAATGCTATGTTCTATACAGCGTAGGGATATGTTATTTAGATGACAGTTATCTGTTACGTATCAGCCAAATTTGGAGCTGGTGTATCAAGTGTTGATTGAGTTTTTCACTTGACATAACCCACAAATGTCACATTAATACTGGCTACTTACTCCTGCTGAAAAAAGGTATAACAATCCAGAGATAACATTACTCTTACATGAATACCATTCCCTCCCTCTGGGAATTCCTACCTGGCCTAGTATCTCAATACAAGATGAGAAGAACTGGCGGGTGGGTGGATAATGCCTGGCACTCTCGCTCATCTGATTGCCTAGGTGATAGAGTAGACTTACACCAGTCTGTTTGGCAGCTTCAAACTCGGCGGGGCTGTCTGCTCGTGCTCGACTGAAGTGGATTAGATCTCTGAGGAAGAATAGACTAATAGACTAGACTAATTTCATGTGACTCCATAACTGTGGTGGCACTACATCCATGCGCATTTTCTTAACCATGAAGTGAGTGCTTTTTCACAAGTCACAACACCCTACTGGTCGACAAGGTATTTAACATGCATGTACCACCCATTTGGTAACACCACAATAATGGCTTCAAAGTCTGGTTACCAGATTAGTCGGTGTTCACATTTGACTGAATCAAGGCACGTGTAAGATGATTTTCTGAGATTTTCAAGAACATTTACTAATGTGAATTGTGTGTACTGAGACGATGTGATCAATCTTTTAGCGGCATTGCTTTCCATGACAGCACAAGCATATAGTTCGTTGATGTGACTTACGTGATTGCATTTTCTATGTGCACGGCAGACACAACGACATTGGAAGGAGGCGGGGCCAGTGACTCGATTGACAGCTGCTTAAACTCAGCTCGGTTTTCATCAAGACGACGAGAGATGATCTCATTTGTCTTCTTGGACTTATGCTGGAAAAGCAATAGCATTGTTGAGTTCAATTTTTTCAATCCGGGGTATTACTTGATGGCACAGACAGACATTGCACAAGTTCTAAATATGAAGCAGGGCCCATAAATAAATTCAAAGAAGCAAAAAAGGATTAAGTTTTTTCAAGAAATGTCCATTAATTCTTACAGTGACAGTGACGACTGCTGGTCCTTTACACTTGTGCATAGGGTTGAACATACTTTTACAAGGTATCTGGATCTGGTACTATAAAACAATGAAATTGAGAACATTTTATCAAGTCATAAACAAGGTGGTTAGCAGCTTAACAGAAGAAAAGACAAAAACATTTCAGTTTAATTAGCTGGATGAAACAACACATGCCGAATGCAACAGATCTGAAATATCAGAAGTTTCCAGTCAACCAACCCCTTCAAAATCTATCTGCTCACAGGTCTTGATAGCATAGGTTCAAGAAATTGGGAATACAGAGGTCCAACCCATCCCAATATTATCTCAAAAATTTGGTCATGTTCCTGAATAAGGGAATCAGTATGTGCTTGGCTAGTTTTAACAGTTCATTCAGACCACATCAGGAAAATAGACACTGATGAATGACTCGAGACCAAGATGAGAAAGATTCTGAGCATCCATTCTCCTGGCCCAGTTTTAAACAACCACTTAAGACTGCCCAAGTACACAACTATTCTCATTCATAAATACCTTTAGAGTCAGTCAGTCAAAACAATTTTTCAATTATAAATTTCCTACAATTTTTGTCCAAAAATTTTATTTCTTTTTTTCCAAACGCCCCTCAAGCAATGATGCAGTGCGTGTCTCTCGTAAGCAATAGTAACCAGTGCCCTTTACAGAGATACAATCAGTGCTGTCGTACACACTGAGTGCGGTGGAACAGAATGTGACGAGCCAGCATGGTGTAAACTTGGCACTCTCAAAAGGGGGATTCATTGATTGTGAATTCAAGATTGTGAATGTTCAACTAATACAAGAAGGGACTAGATTTTAAGTCTACAAATCATGTGACGTCAGAGAAGTGTTTACGATCAGCCATCTGGCAATTATAATTGAAGATTTGTCATGTGACCGTCTCTCAACCAGTAGGAATGGCTAAATTCTTAAAGGCATTTGTGAACAAACCATACAGCAGATTTGCTTTCCAACTTACCCGTACATCTTTGTTTGTAAAAAGGTCAGGTACCAGCTCCAGAAACTCACAATCAAGGACTACATTGCGATTCTCCCTGTCTGAAAATGTGCTGAAAACCAGGGGAAAAAAAAGCAGAATGTTCTATACACATCATTTTTCACCCAACCCCAAAGATCATTTTGGGAAATTGGAGATTTGAAGAGGGAGCAAATGATACCAACATTACTTTTTCATTTTTGAAACCGTTACTTTTTTGTGAAAACAAAGGAATCAACACAAGAGTTACAAAACAAACTGAGAAAGCTTCCTTCTCACTAGAAGTTACGGTAAAAAACTGTGCTGATCAGGCACTGCACAGAGAGAGATTTAGCAAAAGATCTCTTGCAAAAATGACAATAAGGATTTAACCACTTCACCCCAGTGGTAGTTATCAATGTTGATGATTCTGGAACGGGATAATTATCATTTTTTTCTGTTTTCAAAATTCTTAAAAAATTCATATCTTCATTTCGTGGACACTTACACCCACACGGAGGACTGTCTGGTTTCTACTTTAATCTGACAGACAACATCTTTTGACACTGGAGCCTTGTAAAAAGGGCCCAGATTGTGCGGTGTTATGTAATTTTGTTTTGTTCAAGAACCTGGCACAGTGCACTGCTGACCTCTTTTCAATAGGGGCCAGATTAATGTGCAGCGGTACTGTGTGGCTCATCGCTGCAATGGTGGAGCTCTTTTGTCCCCAGTGGTAATCTGATCATTCTAAATGCCCAAAACCCTGGTATACTGTTTCAAAACAAGGCTGGATTATCTCCACTATTGAGAGTGAAAAAATGTTGGCAATGCCCAGCAGCCTGGTCTTTTGTTATGAGTACAGTCTTTTGTTGCAAGGCCCAGTTCCCTTTGTCTGATTTCGGAGACCCCGGTGGTGAGTGGTTAAGGTTTCTGGGAAATTCTTTTCTCCCGTTATTTGCAGTGGGATTTTTCATTCTCTTTGATTCTTCATGAAAAATAAATCCATAGTACACTGCACAAACGGAAGATCAAATTCATCAAGTGTGTACCTAGGGGAGGGTGGCCAACAGGAGCCACACCCCCCCCAAAAAGCACAACCATTTTTTTCAAAAATAAAAAGTGTTTTTTCCAGTCTATTTCAATTTCCTTTCTTCCCAAACCCCATAAGATGTAGCCTCACCTCCCAGACAGGACATAAAAGGTTACATTAACAAAATCTAAGCCCCCCCAAAAAAAGTCCTCCCCAAAAAAGATTTGATTTCAGATCTGCCCTTGAATATAATAATATTAAATTTTTATTGTGAATGCATAAATCACAAACATACCAATGACTAACTCTGTCAACAAAAATCCTTGTGGTTTCTGATTTCATGATAACGAAACCGTGCTGAATGCTAATGAACTGTAGATCGTTTTTTTAAAATTAAAGCAAGGATGCTTAAGAGACAAGAGACATTTAAGAGACATTTACTCTGAATAGTACAGGAGTTGTTTAATGTCATCTTGAAGGAAGACTAGCATGGCATGGTTATTGACGAGTAGTTCCCTAGGTACATCGGGCACCGGGGCAAAGATGGGTACCACTGATGGAGGCTTTTGCTGATCCTCGTAGTGAGTCAAACGATTCAAGATACGGCTTGTTGCTAAGCAAGAACAAACAGATTAACTAAAATTAAGCATTTGATAAAAGGTTGTGAAAGTTATAATACTATTTGTATTTGACAGTTTTGGCATTTTTCATTTCTTGAAGTCAAGTAAATTAGTGAAATATGCTAAGTGTATTCATGATCTGACACTAAAGTGCAGCTAACTGAATGTAAATCTATCTACGTTAACAATGACCTCTGGAGATCAGATGGCCTATAACCTCTACAGAAGAGTAACAGGTCTTTGCAACTGTCTCAGGATTTGCCACACAACGATGCCTGTTTCAACACTAGAGTTTTTTCTTGATGACAACATCGAAAATGTTACCAATATATACCATGAATGCCATTGCTTTGTTGGGACTAAACTTGAAACTTCTTACCACTGTCTTTTTCTTGTTGTTCTGAAGTCAGACTCTTACTGAATCCGGAAGTGTTGGAATCTGGTTGACTCATCTTGACCCAAGAGTTGACTAATTGAGTTGTGTGATAGTTGGCCATGTCCACATTGGCATATTCCATCCACAGGTCCTAGGGATAGGGTGAAAATGAGTTACGGGTAGTGGATATCATGGGTGCAGGCAAAAAGTTGACTAAATGAGTTGTATGATAGTTGGCCATATCCACATTGGCATATTCCATCTACAGGTCTTAGGGATAGGGCCAAAATGGGTTACAGCTGGTGGATATCATGGGTGCAGGCAAAAAGTTGACTAAATGAGTTGTACAATAGTTGGCCATGTCCACATTGGCATATTCCATCCACAGGTCCTAGGGATAGGGCCAAAATGAGTTACAGCTAGTGGATATCATGGGTGCAGGCAAAAAGTTGACTAAATTAGTTGTATGATAGTTGGCCATGTCCACATTGGCATATTCCATCCACAGGTCCTACGGATAGGGTAAAAATGAGTTGCGGGTAGTGGATATCAGGGGTGCAGGCAAAAAGTTGACTAAATGAGTTGTTTGATAGTTGGCCATATCCACATTGGCATATTCCATCCACAGGTCTTAGGGATAGGGTCAAAATGGGTTACAGCTAGTGGATATCATGGATCTGGTCAATAAAAAGTTGACAGTTTAAGTCAAGGATCAGCAAGTTCAAAAAACAATAAATCTATAAAAGCCGTCCTGGTTTTCTATTTTGCTGAGTGTCATACCTGATCACCGTTGAAGATTCTGGAAAGTTTCTCAGCCTCGTATTGCGATGGCAAGGAAGGTAGATAGAGACTAGCATCATGGAGTAAAGGCTCCTCAAGCCACAGAAGGAATGTCTGGTACAATCTACAGAAGCAATGCAAAGCTGAGCTAAGTAAGAGACTCAGCAATTTCAAGTTACAAAAATAGTAGTCTTGTTTTGTTTATAGCAACATCACTGGTTGGTTCTCCTTGTCATATGCAGAATGTTAAACTTAAATAATGATCTCACATACAGTATCAGGCCAGTTTATACTTCACCAGAGTGTTAATGTAAATAGAACAGCATTCCAAATTCTGAGGCGTAATGGCAAAAGTATTCGCCACAAATTCTCAAAAATTGAGTCCATTTCAAGTCAGACAAATGTTTGTCATGACAGAGTGTATTTTGACATCAAACTAAATTCATTTTTGTGTCTGAATTCACTTTCAGCTTGGACTAGCACAAACTTAAGCAAACAAACACATCTCTCAACAAATAGCAACCTTTTATACAAGTAACATTTTTTTCTGTGAAGTTTTGAATCTTAGTTTATTGAGAGACTTGATCTTGGGAATTTTGACTTTGGATTATAAAAAGCAAAATGGTTATTTATGGTCAAAATATCAGATATCTGTTTACTCACTGAACAAGATGGCGGTGATGTTCCGCTCCTGCTTCAAACTCTACTTCTTCTATTGCATCCACTCTAGCCCCTTCTTCCCCACCTTCTGCCTGGTCAGTAGAACCCATGGAGGAAGAAGAGGGGGAGGGCCTGGGGGCGGGCTTCTTGCGGCTGGCCTCGTAGTGGAAGTCGGCTGTCTGGCGCAGCCTTTTTTTCATCCTCTTGAGATAGGTTAGGTTGGCAATGCTCTGGAAGTAACGCTGGCCAATACTGGCTCGCTGAGAAATGCTACAAGGAAAGAATAAAAATAAAAGGAATTCTTAAAGCACTCGTAACATGTAGCTCTGGTGAATGTAATAATAATTCTCAATTGTTCTTGAAGTGATGAGTGCCAAAGTCTTACCCCATCTGTCAATAACTACCTTAAAACAACTTGTTATCATTTAATTCAAAACAGAGGAAGCCCCTGCTACAAGAAACAGGTTATTGAGGAATTTCATATCAAATAAGTAAACTTTTCTACACAAACAAGTAGAACTTCAAGGTTTGTATAAACATACCCAGTTTCTGCTGTGACTCTCTGCAGGTAAATCATGAAGAACCGTTGCCATATAATGGGTAACAATGGATGCTCAATGTCTGTTTCTAGAGCTAGCTGGGCCCAACGATAGATCGGCAGACGGGCTAGTGTCATGGAGTATTCCAGCTTGAGCTTCTGACAGGCTCGCTGCAGAATGTCAGAACAGTCAATTTTTAAGGATATTCTTCGACACCAACAAAATAACATGTTTTACAAATGGAACAAGGCACCTCTCCATATGTACGTGTTTGGGTACATTGTGTACACAATGCGTTCATGCGTTTTACTTTCCCACACACAAAAATCAACTCCATTGACATAACACGTCATGTGCATTGCGTTCCACCTTCGAAATTGCCCTGGGAGCGATTTTCAGGGATATGCAACGCTTAGCGCACGTGTTAACACGCATATAGACAGGCACCTTAAGAATAACGAACGTAATTTGTTGACAGTGTGAAAGCTTTTGTTCCTTAAACATGGCAGTAACTCCTAAGAGGAAGATTTCACAGGTTTGAGTCTACATGGTGTAAGTCAATTTCAGCAAAAATCATTACTAGTCCAAGATTTGACAGGTTTCTAAATTTCCAAACAGATCAGCATTAACGTACTTCACACACAAAGCATCACTGGAAAACGGTGGTTCATATTTCATTGAGTCACTATCTTTTCATGTGTAGGTAGCTAGGAAGATGTTTACACATGCACACCCTCCTATGCCAGATTTCCACTAATGCTTTGTAAAACCAAGCAAGTCTACTACTTCCTGTCTGTGGACCCTTGCAGATGCATTTGGTAAATGGCAAAACAAAAAAAGCTGCTGCAAACACATGACGGTCAACGGTCAAAGGAAGAAAAAAAATCAGCTCTAGATCATGACTATGTATGAGGTACGTTTAATCCATCTATGGCTTTGGTTTGGAGTCTACAAACCTTGAGTCCCATGTCTGGGGTCATGTCCGCATCTTGACACAGCTCCATGGTGACCTCTCGAAGCAGACCCATCTGTTCAAGGTTCCTGGTCTCTGCCGACAGGATGCAGTAAGCCAGCCAAGGTCTCTCCAAGCTCTGCTTCTCAAGGAGGCTTGGCAAGGGGTTGCCAGAGGTGACGAAAGACAGGACAGAGGAGATGAAGCCCTGGGGCTTAGCCTCAGCCTTCATATCCTGGGGTTGGGGGGAGGGTGGGGAGGCAATGGTGTGACAGATTATGGAATAGAAAATCACATGACAGTCTTGCAATTGGTAACAAGGTCAAATCAATCAAAACTGGCTACATATTGAATTTAAAGCCTTTTTCACATAAAGCCAGAAACACTCACAAGGCTTGAGACATTTTATAATGCTACGAAAAATCATACAAAAGTGACACTGTGGGCAAGGACACCAACACGTGAGAGTGCTCAGCATAACCAGCACTCCTGGCGACTTTTTCTCATTCCTACGGAAATTTTGGAGGAGGTCTGGATCTATGACAAAATTTGCTGTTACTGAAATATTTCTCAAGGTACAAGTACGGTAATTGCATCCATGACAAATGATCGTTAGAAAGGATGCACTGTTTATTTGATCATGTTCCATCTGATCAACTACAAAGTGTGCACATCTGGAGATCATAGAACATGATCATGGCACAAAGCTCCACTACAGTTCACCGCACCACATATGGCTATTGTAGTCTATTCCATCTATTTGTTATCAGACTACAAAAGTATGCATTAAGCCAATGAAGCAACTTGTCTCATGGTAGTCCTAACAACGTCTTTTTCTTGTCACATTTCCTGAGTTATCAATATCAATCGCTGTACACTTTGTAGACACGCTCACTTGTCGGACATTGTCAGCTTCATCTCCATCTCAGGCTGCATCCCTGAAATGATAGCCATTCTTAGGCTAAGAGCATCTAATAGAAATACTTTGGTATTTGGCCTGATATTATGCATTTTGACATTTAGATAGCACGTACTATATGACTTTTAATTGAGCTAACAACTGTGAAATAAGATTGTATCTCAAAGGATCCAAGAGACAAATTAAATTGTGTCATGTTAAAAGACACAAAAACATGCAGCGTGTAATTGCAAAGTTAACAAACCCCACAAGTATATTTCGTCTCAAGCCTTGCAAGTTTTTCCTTCATCTTGTGAAAAGGGCTTACATGTGAGTTACTAGTTTACTCTGAAGGAGGAATAAATTCTGGCAAGTCAATCATGAATTAAGTTATAAGTTCTTTGAAGTAGGATATTTGGTAATGTAATAGGACTGTAATGTTTCCACATCATCCAGCCTAACCAATTTCTTTGGTTACACCTTGTACAAAGGGCCACTTGATTTTGTGACAATATTATACATTTAACAAAAAACAACAGCCAGGAACCAACAGGTTTGCATCTATTTTAAAAAAAGCAATGACTTATTAGTGAATTTTTTACAAAACACTTTTATAAAGGACAAATCAGAATAGGGCAGTAGTAAGTTAAGGCTGGTGTTCAAAATCCTCATGATGCTGTTGCAATGTCATGCAGTTAGGAAACCAGACACACGTGAGCTCAGTGCATCAACAAGTAGATCAAACACTCATGAAATGGTTGTCCTAACAAAGTATTGTAAGTCAAACACCGATGAAATGGATGTCCTAACAAAGTATTGTAAAACACTTGAAAAAAATGCACAAAAATCAACAATTTCTCAACACAAAGATCATACACTACATAAATTGGAAGGTATGCAGATTTGGAAACATTATCAGCATACACACAACTGCAATAATTTAATATGGGTGTGAGTAAAGGCTTGGACTTAATTCCAAATTACAATTAATTCAGCCATTTTTACACGGCTTGCCCTGATATTTGAAGTGAATACATTTGATGAAACAATCATAAACAAACTTGTCTTGATTGTGGAAACAGCATTCTCCATCTCTTCTGTGTTATGTTCTCTATAGCTGGAAAAGAGTGATATTTCCTCCTGTGCATGGTCACTCTCTTGTCATTATTTTGTGTTGTGCACTTTTTTAGATAACAGGTTTTCATGCAAGTCACAAAGCTGCTAGGCAACACAATCCAACACTGCACCAAAAAACAACTCAAACATAACTCAAGCAAGAAGCAAACTCATCAGAGGCAATTTACCTGACCAGAGGTAGATCTTAACGCAAACTGTGGTCAGAAATTAGCAAAAGGAAAATGAAATGTAAAAGCTACTTCATGCTTTCTTCTTCACAGGGAGATTTGATGATGTGATATTAAGACTTCAGCTTCCCAAAATAAATGCTTATGATTATGAAATTAAAAACTGAATGACTTGATATGATTCCTTGTACTTGGAGACTGTAGATAGCATTCAATTTTAAGAATGAAACAAAAAATATGTGACCATTTAAATCAGGAGAGGTGAGTGAAAACAAGTAATGTTATTTCAAATTAACAGAGAAGATTTCCAATTACCTTGTACAGTTTGAGGAGGACCTCTTCCGCTATTGAGCAACCGCCCTTGTTGCAGATGGCTGCTGACAACACCACGTCTAGAATATAGCAGATATCTGGATCAAAATGCCAGCCACTCCGCATTGTCAGCAGCTTCAACCAGAATTCTAAGACTGCCTCGGCCACGAGGGCGCTGGTACACGGAGCCAAGGATCGTTGGATCTGGGTCTGAAGATTTAAACACAGGATAAGAAATCAAATCCAATATGAAATGGCGATCTCTAACAGCCCTCCAACTCAACAGATTCTTTCCTGACCAGTACTCTCCTTTGCAACCTTTGATCTTCAAACCTCACACGCTCAAGTGTACATGTATTAAAGTAACCATTCTCAAGCACAAGATTTGAGAATATGCTATACAACCTGATATATTCTACACACGACAAAGTGGACTCAGCTCACTCGGTGCAACCTCGGTGCAACCACTGCCAAGGGTATACAACTGTATATGCTATCAAGCACTGAGACTCAAATACCAGATAAAAAAAGTCAGCTTGGCTTTACGAAAAGAGTTTGTATGAAAAGTAGGTGCAATGTGTTTGGTGTGTTTACAGTCTTGAAGGTGACTTACCAGGACCATACCAGCAAAGAGTTTAGTGGTGTCTCCTGGGAAGGTGTTACTTCCTGTTGAAGATGACCGTGGATTCTGGTGATCAGCTTGTAAGATACGGTGGACAATGGTCAAAAACCTGCAACAAATGATAGAACAGATGTGTGATGATATTGGGAAGAGGCAATGGGTCACAAGGAATGTGGGGTGTCTGAGGGATGTTGATGAAAGTAAGGATTAAAACTGTGGATTTCAGACTTTAAAAGAGAAAAAAATGACATTCATTCTGTATCTCGGTCAGCTTATTAACACATTCACATGCAAACCAGAGTCTCTTCATTTTGATGCAGAGTTTCTTGTTGGTTTTTAATTATGAGTTTTGCCTTTACACCAGCATCTCCCCGATATAATGTACATCTTTTGAACATAGTCTGTTTCTTGTTGTTTATCATCACTATAAACAGACTAATCTTGAATGAATATTCATGAACTAAACACTCACTTCTCATTGGTCAGCAGGTAGTCTGGGTGCTCCTCATCCAGGAACATGGGCACAACCATTGCGAGAAGGGGCAGGCAAAACTGTTGGCAACCTGCTTGGATCAGGGTGTGCATGTTGGGAATACCGATGGTGATGAAGCTGTCAATGCTAAAATTGACAAATGAACAATCAAGACATGGGAAGTTATGTATTTTCTGCTTTCTTGGTGTGATGCTAATGCAATATAAACAATGTCTACTTACACAGTGTGGCAATGGAACTGATGGAAACAGAAATTGCTGGCCCTAAAGTTGTAACTTTGAGAGAAAATTTGAGTCACTTCTTTCCTCCCAGGAGTAGAAACGAGTGTCAGCATTAGCTGGGGAATGGCTTGCCAATGGTTGATATCTCATCCAGGGAGGAAGGAAATATCCCCAGTGGTTTAGCACAAAGGAAACCAGAGATAAACATTGTTCTGATAATACACAGTATTTTAAGACAGATTTGCCCTTTTCCAAATTTCTTACAAATTGTGGTTTAAATACCATACTTCCACCTAAAGTATTACTTTCTATCAAAGTAATATTTCAGGTCCAAAGCCAATGCCAAAAACAAGTCTGGTGACTTTTTGTAAATAAAGAAACTGTTTTTACATACCTGTGCCCAGTTTTGGTCATAGCAACATTGACAAAGCATCCAACAGCAACGTTGGTCTGCAGCGCTTTCTGTAATGGATACAGCTTGGTGTTGGTACTTGGATTTGGCAGGACGCCAAAACCATCATCCATAGCACCATCACTGGGGGCCAGAAGGACTGGGCGGGGCTGATGGTGCTTGTGTAGGCGGAGCTTGGGGACAAGGTCCCATGCCCAAACATCAAAGGCTTGCTCTTGGGAGGAAAACGGCCCTGTACCAAGCTAGAAAGGGACAAACATAACCATAAAATGCATTGACAGTACCAATGCAATTGGCAAAAAGTTCATGATGAACAAATTTTTTAACCATATGGAACATATTTTAATGCAATTTTTGATGCTCCAACTTTGTAAAAACAATATTACATTTATGACTGCATCAAAAATTTCAGTTTGCAGCGTTGGTTACCACTGTCCTTTGTACCACTGTCCTCTGTACCACTGTTCTCTGTACCACTGTCCTCTGTACCACTGTCCTCTGTACCACTGTCCTCTGTACCACTGTCCTCTGTACCACTGTCCTCTGTACCACTGTCCTCTGTACCACTCTCCTCTGTACCACTCTCCTCTGTACCACTCTCCTCTGTACCACTCTCCTCTGTACCACTGTCCTCTGTACCACTCTCCTCTGTACCACTCTGTACATTGTGCACATTTCTCTCATTTATTCATCTTGAGGTCTACCGTCTAAATCAATAAACTCTGCCATGTTCATGTACATACAGAGTATGATTGTCCAGCTGGCTTATTGTACAATTTACAAAACTTCAGATGTGTCTAGTCTAAAACGACGAAGACACTGAAGTGACCAATGATAACAGCATTTTCCATTATTCAGCTTCTCTTTCCTGTGACCAGACTCAACTGCCACAAAAGAGACAACCACGCTGAAGGTCTGACAACATGAAGGAATGGTCCAAAGCTGCAACTGTGATTCAATTGAGTCCAATTTTGGTTGATTAGAACATACTTTTGTAACCCAAATGCCCAAATGATACCTGAAATGTCAAAAAAACCAAAACGAGAGTCAATTTCTGCAAAGTTCCGATGTAAGCATACCCTTGATGCTCCTGGAGATTTGGCAGTTAATACTTGGAGGTATGCCTCAACAACCAAAACGGCGGTGTTGCGATGAAGACTGAGATTGAGAAACAAAGCATCCTCCTAGAATGAAAAACAGAAAAACAACCTTGGAAATTCTTTTTGAATTATGAATGTCAAATACTTATCTATTACAAAAAATAACTACATCTATATGAGTCCACTGTTTAAATTACATGTATTAAATAAAACAATTATTTCTCCACTTGCAATAAGGGAAAAAAGTCAGCGGGAAGATACAGGGTCTTGTGTAGGCTATCAGAAGGCATGATTTATCATGCGCCAATTATGTCTGATTCCCACACCTGTTCATTATATCCCCAGTTCATCTTGGAAAGCACCAGTCTAGCCAGCTGATTCTCTGTCTTGCTTGCCTCGTATCCTAGCAACCACTCCTTCATTATGGTGATGTCATCATTACTTGGATGCCAGAGGTAAAAGGGCAGGCCTCGGAATAAGTACAGAGCCATCTTTACACGAGGAACAAAAAATAACACAAATGATGAATAGCAAATTTTACAACAATGTTCAAAGAAAAGGAATAAAATAACAAGTTTTAGATGTTAAAGGAAGGCCAGGTTATGCGAACTGAATTACCAGCCATGCAAACAATTTTATTATCTACAACCCTGAGCTAGCATTCAAATAGTTTAATACTATGTCTGTCAACACAAAACTGATCTCCAAGCCTACAGGTATAGTGGACAATTTGTGATGATCAGAACCACACAACCAACCATTTTACTGTGAGAAGTTGTACTTTGTTGAAGGATAAAAATAGCACTAAACTCCATGTGAAGTTACTCATGGTTGCATTCTGTCGATTGGAAGAAAAAGTTAAAGGAACAAACACTGAATACTGCCCTTGATTTGTAATTGGGCAAGTCCAGGAATCAGTACATTGTTGTTGACAGGATTTATGCAGGCAGTGTAACTTTAACACCATTCAGGCATACTTGCTGAATGGTGTTAACTGTAAAAAGGCTATACTGTGACACAAGATAATTATTCACTTCTTAAACACAGGACGATAACTGTTATAAAAGTACAGAACAATGAACGAGTTAAACTTTACTAGGTTGATTATTAAGCACCCACTGTAAGATTTTAAGCAATTTTGTTCTTTCAAATAAATAAAGGAAATGCACAATGGACAAATCATCCACTTCACCTTTAAGACAATCCATGACGGATCTATTTGGATTCAATTATTAACCCCTTA